ACTAAAAAAATGAAGTTTTGGCGCTTATATTTTGAAAATATCCATCTATACATACATACATACATACATACATACATACATACATACATACATACACACATACATACATACATACATATATATATATATATATGTATGTATGTATGTATATATATATATATATATATATATAGAGAGAGAGAGAGAGAGAGAGAGAGAGAGAGATGAAAAGAATGATCTCACAGTGAAGAAGGATTCAAGATCAGATTGAAGGCACGAACTAGGTATGAACGATTTTGTTTTTGTTCGCCTGAACGATGTTGAGTACATAAACCATCAAGAAACAAAAATTCATATACAAAGTTAGGTATTATGATTCATGTATGAATGATTTTGTTCATACCGTTCTTTCTAAAGTTGTTAAATATTTTGCTTTTCTTTCGATTTAAATTTTTGTTCAACGTCGATCTCGTTGTCTTTTACAAGTTGTATGGCTTTTGGAATAATTTCAGTTTGATTTTATATCATGTGAGTTTCAACTATTGACTTGATATTTGTATAGTTGAAAAGACTCACTCAAAAACAGGAGCGAGCCATGTCACCTAGAGGACGTGTCTATAAGGAAAAAACAGTAACTGAGAAAACTGTTACAACTACTGAACATGGTGATGTATCAAATACATGTACTCTGACTAATAACACAGGTAATATATCTTCTTATACTAATTAATAGATATCTATATTATATAAACTCAGATGTCCATTCATGATTATAGAGACCTTGCACGCCTAGACTTATGTTAAAAAAATATCCATTCAAGATTACAGAGACCTTGATTGCCTTGACAAATACAAATCTATATTATATATACTCAGATGCATATACAAATATTTTAAACATATTTTTCTACTCAGATGATACAACAAGAATTAAGAATGATCGAGGAAAAACAAGGGGAAAAGGTCTAAAAAAACTGAAGAGAACTTTGGGGAAAAAGATGGTGATAGAGATCCCACTTGGTAAGGAGAGGCTAGTTAAGGCGGACCAGTCATCAAAAATATCGAATAAGTTGGAATAATTGCACGAAACTGTCTTGCGGTTCCAAACAAGTGGAAGGAACTTACAACAGAGGAAAAAGATTCCGCTCTATTTAGGTGTAACATAAGATTTCTGTACTTCTTAATCTAGTATCGTCATAACATTTAGTGTTTGATTTTTATTTTTATGTTTGTCCCTTTGGAAATATACTTTTTTAGGAGAAGTTTGAAAATAATTTGGACGAACGTTACGTCAAAGATAGTTGTGAAGACATCCTCAAAAATAGGAATCGACAATGGCGTTATAAATTAAAAAAGTTATTTGACAGTGCACGTTCTGAGGAAGATGCTCGTAAAATAGAAGTGGAAGAACTAACCTCTGAGAATTGGAATAGGCTTTGCGACATGTGGTGTTATCCAAAACATAAGGTGACTCATATTCAAAAAAATACACATAATATTTATTTCACGCAGGATTTCTTTTTAGAAACGATGTCAGGTAAACAAGGTCAATCGATCAAAGCTCAAATGTAATCATTTCATGGGATCAAAAACATTTGTAGCTGCATGTGCTGAAATTGTAAGCTTTAGTTTTTTTTATTTTCTCGCTAGTGGTAATTTAGTGTTGAAACTATTGTGAATATCGTCTTTTATGAACATGTACCAAATTTTTTTATGTTTCTTACTTTGTGGAAGAGACTACTTCATTGTCCTCCTATGAGATAAATTTTTTATTTTATTTTATAGGGTGAACAACTTGAAGGGGTAGAACCCGATAGAATTGAGTTCTACAAAAACGCCCACTACTCAGTTGTAAAGGATTGATCATCTCAACACGCTGAACTAACTATGTAAGAAAATAAGTATTTTAATCACATATGTAATATACTTTACTCTATGTTTATCATAATTTCAAACAAACATACTTTCTTCGAGAATAGCATGAATGATTTAAAAGCTATATATACTTCGGGAGGAGAGTCTTCAATGACTATTGATGAAATTGTGGATGCTATACTTGGTGCAAAATCGGGATACATAAAAGGTCTTGGTTATGGTCCGAAACCTGATACTACTCGAGCAACTCAAAGAAAGCGGCCGAGTTAGAAGACTCACCTAAAAAGGTGAAGGAGGAAGCTGCGACTGTCCAACATGATTTACAGAAACGATTAAATGCAGCAGAAGTCGTGGTAGAAAACCAACAGTCTCAAATAACAACTCTAAACTCACAATTGGAAGTTGTATTGGCACGTGAAGATGATATTTTGAAACAAGTGCAGCAGTTTATGAGCTCATCACCATCAAGGTTAGACATAGTACACTTTAAACTATAACAATTTCATTACAACTTGTTTAACTAATATATAACTATGTTTCATTTTCTTGATACATCGATCAATGAACTTTCTCAAGTTATCACTTCAGGTACAATAATAACTATGCTTCTTCAAGGATGATTGTGTTTCAATTTTATTCTGTTAGCTTTCTCCTATAAGAAAAAATATTATATACACTCTTGAATGTAATTTACTGGAAAAATGATCTTATTCCCTCAATTACACTTTTAAAATTCAACACAGGTTGTATGAGTAATCTAATTGTAAATGTTTTATGCTTAAATTACCTTATATGTGACATAAATCTTAAATTTTTGTTTACACAGGTTGTGAAAGATGAAAATCAGGACGAACTATTATAGAAGTGCTTTTGCAATGATATTTTTGACAAGCAACCTCAATTTTATTACTTTGTTTCTTTTTTGCAAGTTTAGTATATCTAAGTTACATTTTTCTTTAAGGCGTATGTAATGAGATATCATCTCATGAATGTTATTTTAGTTGTTCTTAGTTAATATATGATGCTGTTTAATGAAGATTTTTTTGTTATCTTTTTTCTTTCAGTATATTATTAACTTTTAGCAATGATTTTCTTGTACATTTTAAGACGATCACATTTTATTCATAAAAAGCATGACATTTGATAGCAAAGAATAAAATTTGTCCCAAAATATCCTACGGATTACCTACAAATTCTTTGTATTTTATGACGATTGCAATCATCGCTAACTATGCCAATTTCTAGAGACAAATTTATTTTGTTGGTAAAAGTATTTTCTTATTGACGATGTGATATTTTTAGCTACAAAAGGACAAGAAAGTAGCGTTGTCACTAATTATAGTTAGTGACAAAATGATAATGTGTATCTAGTGACAAATTTATTTTGTTGGTAAAAGTAATTTCTTAATGACGATGTTATATTATTTAGCTACGAAATGACAAGAAAGTATCGTTGTCACTAATTATAATTAGTGACAAAACGATAATGTGTATGTAGTTACAAATTTATTTCGTTGGTAAAAATAGTTTCTTAGTGACGATTTGATATTATTTAGCTACACAATGGCAAGAAAGTAGCATTGTCATTAATTATTATAATTAGTGACAAAACGATAATGTGTATGTAAAAGGTAGTACTTAGTGACAAAATAATATTTATTCAATGACGATATATATATATGATTAGATACAAAATAAATCATCACTAATTCAAATAAATAACTAGTGACGCAATCATTGACGTCACCATTATAACTTCTTTAGTGACGAAACAATGTTATTACCTAAGAAAATTAATTCTATAAAAACTCACGTTTGTCATGAATCGAATGCATTTAGGGGTGAAATTTTTTTTCGTAGACAATTCAGGCCTAATTTATGACAAAACAATAATTCGTCTCAATATACATTTAGTGACCCATGCTTTAGGGACGAAAGGTTGACAAATATTTTCTTGTCACAAAAGTCTTTTTGTGACGATATATGAATTTAAAATGAAAAAATATTTTGACTCAAATAATCAAATTTGTTGCAATGTCATATAGATACATGAGGCATCTCGTAGCTGAGTTGACTTGACTGACTCGTCTCCTTACTGATTTATCAATTTCACCGTCTCTTCGTGTTCTGATTCATTCAGACAGCCAAGTTGCAATTCATATTGCACGCAATCCGATTTTTCATGAGCGGACAAAACATGTTGAGCTTGATTGCCATTCGGCTGGGCTCATATTTTATCTTTTGTTCCTTCTAAAGATCAAATCGCTGATATCTTTACCAAATCTCTCCCGGACCACAACATATTAAGTAACTTTCCAAGCTAGGTTTCACTTCGATTCCCTCCATATTGAGGGGAATCTTGAAATACAATCCTCTAGTTCATTAATATCTATTGACAGATCAATTGAGAAGAAGAAGGCTAGAAAGTTCAAGAACACAAATTGTGTATGTCGAAGAGAACGTTGTTGAAAAGAACAGGAAAGACCAACATGATTCATAGGCCACACAAGTCAGTCAAATAAGTTTGGGTTTAACAGTAATACAACTAGAAAAAAATACAACCCTTCTTTAGCATGGTAAGAGAATAATTCTGTAGGTTTTGTTATTATGATAGCCAATAGAATAGAGATAATTGTATAAATTTCTTATTTATATATTATATATCTATATATTACTCTTCTTAGTATATATATTATATAATCCGGGAAGGATAAGGACGAACACAACAACAAATATTTGTACAAAAAGCAACATAAGTTGTACTTTTAAAATAACAATAGTGTAAGGTGTATTGTCAATGTGGACATATGTAATTGGATAGCTGGTTGCTCTTCTATTATAGGAAAAAAAAAAGATACATGTATTCTATAATTCAAAGTGAACCCGTTATTTTTACCTTTTTAGAACACGTGCAAATACTGCATATCTGCTAATTGTAATTTTTTTAATAAACGTTGAGAAAGTTACGTTATAAATTTGACATTCTTTTATTAGTAAATGGACACGTGTATTGTTTTTGTTACATGCAACAATAGCTATGCAATAATAACATTATCACTTTTATTCTCTTTCTCCTTAACAAGAAATTCTCAAGAAATTTATGTCTCATCTTCTTCTACAATTTCATCTGTTTTATTTGTTGGAGTTCTTTTTTCTTGCATTTCGATTGAATTTTTGTGGTCTAATAATTTGCCAAGATATATTTTTGATGTTTGTATTAGAAGTAAAGTTTATTTAAGCTTAAGAAACGAAGGATTAATTGGGTAATTTCCTATGTTTTTTACTTTCTATGCTATTTTTCTAACGATTTTGAAGTTTTTCGTTTCTATTTGCAGTAGCCAGATTGAATATTGTCCAATCGACATTGTCCTACTTGATTGAGTTCACCATGAAGAACCATCGAAAATAATATGCTGAAAAGGAGGGAAAGTCAACAAGAAATTTGACAACTATGAGTATCTTCTTTCCCATTGAATGTTACTTTTTCTCTCTCTCTCAATGAAATAATAATAAGAATAAGCAAAGGTTGAATCGGAAAATATATTTCTGCAAACAAAAGCACAAAAAATTTAGAATTAGACACCAATTATGCAATAGAAAATTCCAACTCCATGAGCGTTTTATATCAACTATTTACACCTTAATAGGATATGAATTACCATAAGCTTTTGTGTTCTTACAAACCAAAACGTGAGCAATACATTGTAAATCGAAGTCGTCATTAATAACAAGGGGTGATTTTCCTTGTTTTTTTTTTGTTTTTTTTAAGCAATAAACAAGGATGACATAGTTTGTGTACATCTATTCAAGATTTGATCAACTTATTCCATAACTTTGGATTGAACATGTGGTGTATCTAACGCTCAGAGCCTCAAATGATCAAGAAGGAAATTAGTTCTTATCATTCCGTAAAAATACAAGAGACAATAACATTTTTTTATATTGTAGCTGATGCATTTCATCTATTTGAAGAACATGAAAATTCTATCAAAATAATTAATCACAAGTGTTAACATGAGTTTGTAGAAGATATATTTTAGCCAAGCTTCTAACTCCAATTCCCATTGTAGAAGATACAATAACATGCAATTAAGTAATGTACTTCCAATTCTTTCTGTTCCTCCTTTTGCTCAATAATTCCTTTCCTCTAAAGGACATTAAAGTGCACAGAGCAGCTGTAGGATTAGTGAGAATTAAGAAGCATAAATTGAACTTTGTTGGTTATTTCACACTTCCTTTTATCAATTCTTTTTTCAATGTGGTACTCTACGAATAGTTTATTTTTTAGATTAAATTTAGCTTCAAATCATGACATAAAAATTTATGGTATGTAAATTTTTTAGGCAAAGTTTTGTGCAAAAGGTGTGTAAAGATGATGAAAAATTAGAGATACATGGGAGGAATGTAAGTTCTAATATTTTATTTTTATCAACTTTATTGGTTTTAGTTGCATGTGTTCTTTAATCAATACCTTAATTCCCGTCAATTATTATGACGAATTCTATTGCATTTGAAAAGAAAAACTTTTGAAAACAAATTTTAACATCAGTTAATTATATTTTTTGAATACAGTAAAATTGTTCTCTAAAGTAGGACAATCAGTTGATTAATTCAGGACCATAGTCTTATAAAATTTCATCCCTTTGTAATTGAATGAAATACACACCGTGAAGACATTTAATTATCATAATATTTGATGACTAGTAGACAACATTTTTTGAAATTCAAATCTTGATACTTCTCTTTTCAATTAAGGTAGAAATAAATATATAAAAGGGTTTCTGTAGGTTTAAAAGAATATATAAAATAAAATGTTCAACAATGTGATGCTTATATATATTAATCGAGCCCCCTATCCTTCTTGCTACTTAGGTCCCTGATCAGAAGCTGTTCTAGCGAGGTGTTATATAGTGTTGATAGAGTACTTCTAAACCCAATTGTCATTAACAAAAACTCTATCCAACCTCATCCAGATATTTTTACCACGTCTCCGGTTATTACACCAAATGTATTTGGATTCTATAAATGTCATGTCATTCATTCCACAAGAGTCTATACCAAGAGTTTTCCTTCTTTTTGTGCTTTTGAGATAGATATATAAATTTTACTGTACTAATTAAAATTTGCTAAGATGAGGTATATTTTATATTCTATTTTTATCGTTTTGAGTATTGATTATCTGATTGATATTTTGACTTTATTTTTCTGTTGATTGGCATTGCTTAAGGATTTGATTTGGGAACTAATGACTTCAATGATGTCTGTCACTGTAAGAAGTTTAGATGAAATCAAAGTCCCGCCTCTGTTGGTGGTCAAGGTATACATTACAACTATTTTCTAGAGTTCAATTGATGTAACTGACTTGGTGTAAGATAGTTCTTTGAATGAAGTAAAAATAAGATGGAATGGTGGATGAATTTGTAGAAATAAATTTTGTAAGAAGAAAAGATTTAGGTCTGACATTTGGAACAAATGTGGTGGGGGAATCAAACTTATGGATATTTGATATTTTTTCTGTTAGTGTTTTCTCAATAATATAATTACTCTTTTTGCATCATCTTCTTCACGTTTGCTATTTTATCTGAATTCAGTGTTGTCGGTATAGCTTGACTACATTATATTTAAGATGATGAGAGAGATATGTAGGTGCAGTACTGGTGCAGTGATATTGATCTCCACTTTGTTGCTTATTTATTATGAGCTTCATTAAGAGAGATCAATTATGGTACAATATCATATTATTTCTTCACTTTGCTAGCATTGATAAGTTGACTTAACCTCTTCTCTATTTTTGATAGATTTTGCTTAAGCATTCTCTGGGGAAGAGACAGTTGGATTTTGCTCATGTCAAGAAGTCAAGTGAAGTGTACGAGTGACTTATGGATATAAGTGAATGGTATTATGATAGTATTTCAATTTCAAAACTATGAATAAGCTATAGTGTAATAGATTGTGCCACTTGCAGTATATATTTTTGCACCGTTTCCATCTATACATTTTCTTATTAGATGTATGTTGTAGTCATTGCCCCCATTTTAGTAACAATTACATGCAGAAATTTATTGTTGGGCTTAGCACGGGCCATGCCCTTTTAGTAATGCATAAACAGACAATAAAATTTTCCAAATCAGTCTCTATATTTACAAATACATATTTGTATATATATCTTTTTTAGTTTAAGCGTCAAAATTTGAACCATATCATTAATATCAATGCATAACTTGTTCATCAATTAAATGATTTCTTTAAGATTTGAAATTAAATATTTTTCCAAATGTTTCAATTTATATGACTTATATGTTTATACTTAATTTTAATTTTTTTTTATCATTGATGAAAATGATTTATAAAACACAAACATCTGTAAGTTATTAAATAACAAAATCTTCTAAAGTCTTTTTGCTTAAACTTTGTTACCAATTTATATGACTTATATGTTTATATTTAATTTTAATTTTTTTTATCATTGATGAAAATAATTTATAAAACACAAACATCTAAGTTATTTAATAACAAAATCTTCTAAAGTCTTTTTGCTTAAACTTTGTTACCAAGTCAAAGCTATATACTGGAATAAATTAGTAATAATCTTTTACAAATAATTTTAAAATATAAAAGAATATATTAATCTCTTCTCTAGAAGCTGATGTCCCTTCTGTCGGTGAAGCAGATCAGCGGCTTCCAGATGCACAGCTAGGACTGTACTTTCTTTTTGTTGTTGTTCTGTTCTGCTAAAAGTTAAAAAATGCAAAATGTTTCCAAATTATTTCGCAAATATTCATGGTGACATAATACTTCACTATCTTACTGAAATTGTTACTCTTTTACTCTTTTAAAATATTTTTTTTTAAATTTGTTATTTTATTATGTCAAAGCTAAAATTAACTTTTTCTATTCTATCTTCAATATTAATTATTTATTTCAGCAAATAAATTTATAAGATTTAGGATTACATCAATTATTATAAATATTATCATGTATAAAGTAAGTGAAGTAGTAAATAGTTGTAGGTGGATCATGCAAAAGACGATTGAATATTTCTTTTTACCATTGAATGGTTGCATTGTAACAATAATAAATTAACAAAAATAAGGTGTACACATTAGCAGAATAATTATACTTCTTTCGTCTCAAATTAATGAACATCTTATTAAAAATATTTAATTTATATTATTTAATTATTTATTAAATTATAATAGAATTAATTAATTTTTTTCATTTCGTCCCTATAATTAGTATGACTTTAAGAAGTTCAAATGAAATTTGCAGATCTAAGAATTATTTTAAGAGACTAATTAATAGGAACAAATGACCATAATTAAGTTAATCAATTCATTAATAATTTTTTGATTACCACGTAAAAAAATACACATCTAACATGGGATGGAAAGAGCAAATAATACTCTCTTCGTCAAATAATAGTTATCCATTTTATGAAATTAATAAATATTTTTATATATAATTTTTAATTTATCAATGTAATGTATTTATTATATTTAAAAGGTAAAATAGTAACACTAATTTTTTATGTATAATTTTTTAAAAGGAAAAATTATTTTGATTAGAGAAATATTTTACCTATATTATTTTTATAAAAGATATTTTTAATTTTAGTACATGTTAATTAAAAAATAAAAAAGATTACTAAAAAATTTTTTGATGAAGAAATACTATTAGGCGGAAGAAATATGATTTGAGTAAATGGCCGACAATGATTAAGAATAATATTTCAAATTCCATAGACATTTGTGCTCCTGTTATTATAGTACTGATTATTAAATTTAAAAAGTACATGGGTATACCACAAATTAAGGGTGTATAAATAATTGTGAAGATTTATCGTTTAATTAATGGAACCAACAAGCGAGTAAACATTTTTTTATGTAGGAATTACATCACCTCTACTTGAATTCTGTGTCTATAATTCTCAAATCTCAATATTCAACTTCTCCTTGGAGACTGCACAAGAATAGGCAACCTATAAACTTGCATATTACTAGTATTGTTTTTCCTCTTTATTTTTACTTATTTAATATATTATTTTAAAATATTTAATAATATTTCTTTAAAATATATAAAGTTAATGCTTAACTTATACTATTAAATATTGTTATTTAATTTTTAATATCTAAATAATTTACTTTTTAAATAACATATTAATAAATTTATTTTAATCATTTATTATATTTTAATTCACGTGTTAACTCAATAATGTACGTATATATAATAATGAACATATATATAAATAGGCGACGGAAACAATTGATGATTGATGTTACCTGCTTTTGATCAAGGATATTCTTTATATTTACATAATTTTGATGCTTTAACAAAATTCTACCTCACTATTTTACAAAGGATCAAGTGATTTTCAGCCACTTAAAGTTATCAACGTATTTTATTTAGATATTTTAATTAATTAGGATTAATATTTATTAAATACTTACATTATTTAAAAGAGAAGTACTAAATGATCAGAAAATATTTTAAATTACAATATTTTTTTATTTTAAAATAAATCGATCTTTTTTCTATTTTTAAAAATTATTAAAAATAAAAGGATAAATATATCTTTAAAAAGTAAAATTACATGGGAAAAATCTCATTCTGATCAAATTCTAATCAAATTTTTTGATTAAAAAGATTTTTCCTATTTAAAATATGTGTCTATTAAATATAAATTGCGGACATGACAGAAAAATTTTTCTTACACTTTCCATTCGCGCGTGATGCAATGTGAAACTATATTTATTTCATTTTTTTTAAAAACCCACTATTTTTTTTTTTAAAAAAGCCTCCCAAGCTCCCTCAGTCGTCTTCTTCACTTGCATCTTGTGCAACTTTTTTATAATTTTAAAAAACTGATTGGATCTGCAAAAAGAAAGAACATAAAAGATTTTTGGACATTCAACCAAAAACTTAAGCCAACGTCAACTCCATTTCCAAGCATCTCTAAACAAATATTATCATTCAAATTAAAATATAAACTCATTTAACGTATAAAAAATTATATAAAATTATATGTGTTTTCTTGATTTTTTTTACAGTCGATTTTGAAATGATTATCCATTAACAATTTCACTTCTTCATCACTCTAGTACGAGTCTCTCTCTATATCTTTCTCTCACGTATTATGTATGAAATTTATTTATATTTTAAAAAATTAAATCTGTAACTAAGTTGCTAAGATGTTGAGTTTTGTGGTTTGGAAAAGAAATGGTGTAGGGAAGAGAAGATGAAGATGAAAGGGATGGGGTAGCGTGGGGTAGGGGTTAGGGTAGAAAATGTATTTGAAATAATTTTTACTTTTAAATTTAAATATTATTCTTCTATAATTTTTGGGGCCCACTTATCATATGTCTTTTTTCCATCAATTATTTTGCCATGTCATCGAGAGTGTATCTCAAATACCTTACATTTTTTTTGTTGATTATTAAAAAATGCCTCATAAAAATAAGTTTGTATTGATAAAAATGTTCCGTTAGTAATAGTTTTAGTTGAGATGACTAAATGAATATGTTGATAACTTTGAGACATCATTGATGATTTAAGCCTTTTATAAATGTTAGAAACCATTAATTCATCGTGTCCTATTATCGCCTTCGCTGGGTCCCTTTTTAGAAGTTTAGTATGTTCTAAATTATTTTTGAAAATATTTTATTTTTATTTATTTAATTATAAATTAAGACAAAGAAGATAATAAATATTTTGTAAAATTATATAAAAAATATTACAAATCATAATAATTAATAATAGAGAATAATATAAAGTTATTTTTGAACTTATCTCAAAAAAACGTTACACGCTTAAACTATCATGACAACCTATTACATACCTTTACTATCTATAAATGATTTTTTACCCCTTAAAACTGACGTGACAAAAGATTAAAAATAAATTAAAAGCGCGTTTAACAAAAAATAAAGTAAATAAATAAATAAATTAAAATCTTCTTTTTACTATCACCCTCCCCCCACTCTCCAGCCCCACACCCACCCAAGACTTCTTCTTCTTCTTCTTCTTCTTCTTCTTCTTCTTCTTCTTCTTCTTCTATCCACCCCATTATACCTTCACAAAAATCCTCTTCCCCATCCTCACTATATTCTATTTCAATGGTTATTCGATTTTACCATTTTATTATATTTTATTTTTCTCTTCAATTTTGTTGGTAGTTGATATTATTGATAATTAAGTTTAAAAAGTAAAATATTATGATGGATTTGTTGGCGCGGGGTGACAAAGAAGCAGGAATTGAAGGCGGTGGAGAAGCAAAACAGGATATTAACAATGGTGGTAAGTGATATGTGGTGGTGGGTTTGTACCTTTTGATGGTGATGATGTAATTTTGATGATGAGTTTGTTTATGAGTGTCAAATTTTGTTGCGAATCTTTCTAAATTTTGTGGGGGTAATGGTGATAATATGATTTCAATGGTGTATTTGATCGTAGGTAGTGAATTTTTTTTGAATGATACAAAGAATTTTAGTCAAAATTTGACATGACATCTGATGTGGCAGTGACATTGTATTCATGTGGCCCAAGTGTGATACATCTTTCATTGTGAGAGTGGTGCTACACGTCTTAGGGAGTAAAAAATTCACTTTTTAATTATAAAAATGTGTATTAGGTCATTATAATAGTTTAAGCGTGTAATTGACTTTTCAAAATAAGTTTTGGGGGGGGGGGAATTTATTTCTTTTCCCATTCATAACTTGAAATATCTAAAATAAATATACAAACAAATTTTAAAAAATATTTTATAAATTTTTAATTTTGTTCATCTAAAAAAGAAAATACTTTTGGTTAGTAGAAAAGACTAGACAAGCCCTAACTCACTAAAAGGTCATAAAGATAGGCATTACTATCTTGACTCAATAAAAAGTGCACAAAAACAAAGTGTGATAAGGGAGGCCCACGAACACCCCAACTATACACAAAATGAATTCCTCAAAAAGTTTTACCATGCCTATACCTGATGAACTTTTATCTTTACAGCGTATCAAATGATTGTTCATTATTTCTCTCTCTAAAGGTGCGAAAGGTCGTTAGTTCCTATTTTCCCACATTGATGAGTACTCTGATTCGTTTGGTAAGGTCCTT